CACTGATGATTCTTCCAAAAATATAATCGAAGTTCTCCATCAAAATGTATAATATGCTATTAATACACATTAGATGATAATAACAGTTGTTCCATGAATAATCCTATGAAGCTATGCATCTTAGACCTCTTGAGCTGTGAATTAGCACTATTTTCTGTAGTTACTTATTCTCTGGATCATTTTATAATTTCCATATTAATTTCAAATATGCTTGTGTTATTCAGTGCTCTCCAGAATTGTGCATTTTATTCTTTGGTTTAAGCACTCAAGCATATAATTAAAGGAATTGCTAAGCAGCAGCTTAAAATTCAGTTATCAGATTGTATTTAACAATCTTTAAGAGCATGATCATAAAGAGCTATTTTTGACACCCCCCCCCTTTTTTTTAACATTTAGTGTTAATAAGGGTTTTATATCTCATCTGTCCATACTGTTTTCCAAGGAACGGGGTGTTGAGGTAGGTGGAAAAGCATTTGTAGGAAGTTAATTTGAATATGGACACGGTGGGTTATTCACATTGAGAATGTTATTTGAAGACTGTCTCTGAAACCAGGTGTGGTTCTACTCAGTGCCATAGGCCGAGTCTTCTCTCTGTAGGTCACCATTACATAATTTTCATTCTGAATTTCATTCACATTAAATTATTTGAGTTCATACAGACGTAAATTTTAAAATCTGTACATATATTATTTTGATGTATTAAGATGAATAAATATTACTGATTTAGATTTTATTTATACACATACTTAAAGGACAGAAATGTCTGGGAAAGTGTTAAATAATGATATGTAACTTTTTAACTTTTTAAATAAATAACAAGATTTTTAATGTGTGTCTCCCTCAGGGTTGTTTAAACCTTCTCCCCCTCAAGTGTAAATAGTGGTAACTGTATGTTTTGTGTCTTCTGGCACCAACTGCTGTAAAGCGGTGCTGCAAATAGTGCTGGAATAAAAACGGCCAAGCCGACGGCAAAGTGCACACTTTCTACAGTAGTTTTGTAACCCTCACATTTGAAAGCTTTCCAAACGGCACTTGCATCTAAACAAAACTGCTGCAGTTTTTACTCTATTTTACTTTGTTCCCCATGTTTATGAAAGTACTGCGCAGTTTCAAGGGCATGGTAACCAATATATCAGTGTTTATGTAGTCTGTTCCAAAAACAGCTATCGATAACATTACTCAGTGAAAGGCAAAATTCAAGCTTTAGAAAACATGCATGCATGCAGTTTTGGCATATCTAAAAATAGGTCTTTGTATATTGATGGTGGGAGGTGGTTGGGAGCTTTTAACAAAATGAGGTGTTAATTTTTGTATAGTCTGTGGGCATTTACACATTTTTAATGTATTAAAATTTGGTAATTATGTGTACATTAATTACTTCTGGTTATGATTTGTGAATTCCCTAAGATCTTGGATTTTTTTAAGTAACTTTATATCAGAAATGATACTGCATCTTTATATTTTTAAAATTGTATTGCTGCTCAAGAATGGTACCCTCTTGTCAAAAAGGCATACATACATAATTGTACATTCAACATTGTAAATAATCTTAATGAAAACTTTTTTGATTGAAGCATTCAGAATAAAAATTTTAATGAATGAAATAACACTTCATTTTTTCTGGGTTTTTATAAATTTGTTTGCTTTTTAGTCACATGAATACTTCCCTTTGTGGATTTATTTTTCTGCCCAATAATACTTCCCATTTACTTTTTTAAAAAAAAAACTGGATTTTTGAAGGAAATATGAACAACATTCTGCATATCACACCACATCTGTGACCATCCTGAGGAAACCCCTGAGCCGGATGCAGTGCAGAGCCAAATGTTAAACGCCAGGAAGTCTGAGGGAAATGGCAGAACATAAGAGGAGGAACTTTTAATCTATTAATAGTTGGGAGAATCAAACCAAAAGCTAATACCATGGAGAGAGAAGATGGTTGTGGAAATCCCAGAGAAGACAGGACCTTCATCTGTGGGTAGGAGTTGTTCCCGGGCAGCTCAGCTTCCAGAGACGTGCAGCCTCTGCTAGGGCACACGGCTGGCTGTGGTGTGATGAATTCGGCGGGCGAGGGCCTGCCTGCTTTTGGCTCCAGTTCTTGCCAGTCGCTATGGTTTGTGCGGCATGTATGATCCTTTCCACACAGCCTGCTGGTGTGGGCACCGTTCAGCATGTCTCTCCTTCCCCTCTATCACTGCCAAGTGCTTTATTCTGAGTGCATATTGCAGGAAGGGACATCGAGTCCTAGGGGCTTGAGTGAGACTGTCCGTGGTCCAAGTTGGGGTGTGGTTACTCCCCACTGTGCCTTACCCACTGTGTCTTCCTCAAAGAGGAAAAACGCTGTCTCACCCAGGCAGACCTGCTTTTGAATGGTTAAGCCCCTTAAGCCAGGGATCTGTGACTATTTTATAGCAGACTTCTGACCTGGTGATGGATCCAGAATCTTGAGGCTTGAAGTACTGGAGCTGTCAGTTTCATTGCTCCAAATACTCATTACCTCATCCACTTGCTAAGTGGTTGGACTAAGAGTGTTTTCTACTCTCTGCAACTTCCATCCCTACTTCTCCCTTCCTGGATAATCAGAATGTCTTCCTAAAGAACAAAACATAGAGGCCATTCTGACTGGATTTTTCCTGGGGAAATAGGCTAAAGAAGTGTCACAAGCATTTGAGTCGGCATCTTACACTGTTTCACAGCGCGCCTTCCCTGTCTGTCATGTTGGCTCCCTGGTATTTTCATGGGCAAGGAGGGGCCTTTCACTTGATTTGCCTTTGCATAATGGACTTACCAGCTCACCAGTGCAGCAGCTCTGGGCTTTGGAGTTGCATTCCTTGATCAGAACTGAAAGACCTCCTGTGATACCTGGCAGAGGCTCTGACTCTTCCCTGTGGTCCAGGACTACATGACTTAGAAGGTAATTACAGTCAACTCAGCATTTCCTGGGCTCTGACTGCATTTGGCTACATCAAAGGGTGATTAGATCCCATGATGTAGACATTCCTGATACTAAGCCTTTGTCAGTTATAAGTGTTACAAATATCTCTAGTTTGTGGTTTGTCTTTCCACCTTTTTTTTGGTGTCTTCATGGATAGAAGTCTTAATACAGACAACATCAGAGTGCTTACAAAAGACACGTAGACATACATGTTTTGCCTATAGAAAAATGGGCAAAAGGAAACCCAGCATTCTCAAATGAAGCACAAATGAGCCTTGATTATGTGAAAAGGTGCTCAAGTTCATCATTAAACAGGGAAATGAAAAGTTAAAACCATGCTGCGATCACTTTCATAGAAATGGCAAAAATGAGGAAGTAGCAAGTGTGGGCAGAGATGAAGCGCAGGAACTCTCATCAATGGCAGGTGGCATTTTAGACCAATACAACCACTTTGGAGGGCAGTTCGATGTTCCCAAGTTAAATTGAACGTGTCACCACCCTGCAAAGCAGCAATGCCATTATTGAACATGTTCAAGGATGTTCTTGGCCTTATTATTCTCAAAAGGAAAAAAAAGGAGTGGAGCATTTGAGAATGTTCTTAGCTTTATTGCTAAATGGAGAAAGATAAACAACACACATACACAACTGGGTAGAAAATTAGGGCCATGTGGTGTGAAAAGGAAGGCCCAAAGGAGGTGTGGCCCATCTAGGGGTGTGGCTACTGCAGTGATCCAACTCTCATTAAATTTTCTTAGCATCGCAGAGTTATGTTGTGCCATTTATGGAAAAACTCTTCCCACTGCTCTTGGCTTTGACAGTAGGAATCAGGCTATATACGGTCTCTCAGTATGAAGATATCTGTCATGAAAAACCAGAACATGGCCTCTGAGATAGGGTCCTTTCCCTGACCTATTCTGGTAAAGTCTGTATCCTCAGGATGCAAGGATCCTACCCTTTTCCTTTGGAAAGTGTCGAATCACATGCAAAGCTCTAAGTCTTTCAGTTGCTTTGGCGAGCAGAACCATTTCAGGTAAGGCCAAATATTTTAAAAATTAGTATAGGAAATTGGCTCCATTCATCTGTGTGTGCATGAGAAATAAAATTTCACCAGAAGCAATTTATGTAAAATTTCACTTGGGAAACATTGTTTTGGCAGATAATTAGTATTGTATGCATTTCACAGAAAATTCAGTGCCGTGAGTATTACCTTTTATTAAGCATCTTAGAAATGGTAGCTCTTTATGGCTAAGTCAAAAATACTTCCCTCAAATTCTGTGTGATCCTAGTTATACTATTGAACCTTTCTGTGCCTTTGTGTCTTTATCCTTGAATCCGGGATAATATATTTACCTCCTAAGGTTATCATGAGAATTAAATTCATACAGTATAAATAAAGCACTGAGAACAATGCTTGGCTTAAAGTGACAGGCATTATTTTATGCTTTTATTGGCTGTTGATTGTAAAATGATAGTTATTATATGCTTTTGTTGGCTGTTGATTGAAGGTGTTCGCTGTTTTGGGGTGTCCATCGTTTTAATAGAGTAACTTGGTACTGCAGATATAGCATGATTGTGAGCAAAAGAATCGGATGGTGGTGGCTGCAGACTTTGCTGTTCCCTTCTTGACTGTTGGTTAGAGCCAAGGCAGGGTACATTATAAAGTCAAGAGCAGAGCTGCTTTCACAATGGACACTGCTTTGTAATGTCTGGGAGCTTGAATGTGAGAATGATTATTTTAATTAATTCTCTATGTAAGGATTTTTAAGTATTGGCTATTCGGTAGCTTGATTTTTTTTTTTTTTTTTT